CTCGTACGCCTGTGAGGCTTACGCTTGTATTCTAAAAGCTCACTCACACTCAAAGAGTGGAGGTTCAATTTGAGCTTCTCTTGAGTGTCAATGCTGTTTTTGAATAGCTGGAGGGTGAGTAGTCACATAGTAAGGTAAAACACTAACCCTCCAGCTATTCAAAAACAGCACTCAAGGGAAAGTCAAATTGAACCTCCACTCTTTGAGTGAGCTTTTAGAATACATGCAGGCGTTAATGTAATAGGACAAATAAATATCCCCGGGAGCTCATTGCCATTGCCATCATGTTTTATAGTCCTATTGTACTTACTGTCTTATTGCCAAATGACTGAAAATTTTCTTTGTCAGAAGTCAGTGTCATATCTCGAAATCTCTGTAAACGTTTCTGCTGTTCTTGCAACAGTGACTTCTGTTGTAGATCGAGGGTGCTGGGCGAGGTCGCAGGTTCGGGATACTTGTTTAAGAAATCGCCATGAAGGGAACTGCTTTCTGAAATGAGAATAATTATTTTAACATTTAGGGATAAAATAAGTGAAGGCAGTTGAAACCTGGAGCTACTACTGTCCAACAGCTCCAAACATAATTAGCTACCTCTACAAATATGTAATCTACAGGCCTGAATCGGATAGCCTTGATAGTTTACCTTCATATTTCAATTTATGGAATTCATCTATCGCACCAGAGGTCTAAAATGGGAGATAAAGTTCAAAACAAATAAGCATAAATTTCATCGTGGATTTTCTTCTATAACTTCAAATACCCCATGTTTTTCAAAGTGTTTAAATCAGATAATACATGTAGACTATGGAGAATTGGAAAGTTTACCTGAGAATCGTGATATTTTTGAGTGGCACTCGGCTGTTTGCGAAATACATTATCAAACACATTTCCTCCAACTGGTTTCTTGGTCCTGCCACTAAAAAATCAAATTCATGTGAAATTCGAAGAAATGAAAAAAAATAGAGAACATGGCACAGCATACGATAGTGTTGCAACCTACCTTCGAGTCCCACTGGTTTCTCGAAGTTTTACGTACTTTTCCTAGAACATATATAATAGCTACGCTAAGCATACATGAATCTGCGCCAAGGTGCAGTCACTGAGTACCCTCTACACTCGTAAAAATCTCACAACTTGTCAACAAGATGTGTTCGCAACAGGCTTGTAGCAACTAGCAAGCTTGTCAACAAGTTGTAATAATGCTGTTATTTTATCCAGTTGCTACAAGGTTGTCACTCACAACTTGTTGACAAAATGTCGAATTGCAGGACGATAACAAGTTGTTGGAAAATTTTAACAAGTCTGTTGAGCTCAAAAACCATGTAGCAAGTTGTCAACCGTTGAAAACATGTCAACAAGCTGGGAACAAGCAGTGCGAACACATCCTGGTTGACAAGTTGTTGACAGCATTGCTACAACTTGCGCGTTTTTACGTGTGTAGTTGTGAATGCTAGCAGCGTATCATTGGATACAAACATACAGATGACACGTAATAATTCGTAACTACTTTCCCACCATACCTTATTTTCAGATAACTGTTGCTGGACTTTAATTTCTTCTTTCTTCAGCTGTCGTCTTAATGACGTCAGCTGGCTCAAAACATCAATATCAGCGGTTGCCGATGACGGCCTAGATCGACGACCTGAACAAGATTTACAGTTATCGGAATGTTAATTCCATGCCTTCTAGTCATTGTTTTTGACCTGTCTGCAGCAATATGCAAATGGCCTATCAAGACTTTTACTAAAGCCCGGATCAAAGGAGGATGAGAGTGAATTAGAGTTGGCAGTCACACGATCTTAGTCTCCTGTTCTTAAGCTTTCTCAACACTATCATGAATTCTATTTCAGTTAAAACGTAGTTGGAACACTCATTAAACCTTTATTTTGTTAATCTAGAGCTTGAAATGTCCCTGTAACAACGCGTGACTGTCAACTCACGTCAACTCTCATCCTCGTTTGATCGACGCTTCAGAGCAGTGAGTTTACCTTGACGATCATTTTCTTCCATGGTTCTTGACCGTGTACTAGGCTTCTGCTGATCACGTCTAGAACTTGATGGCGGTCGATCAAACTGTTTCTCAGCTGATGACTGTCGTTGAAAATTAGGATGCGTGGTCACTTCAGCAGGCTCTTCTGTTTCCCTTTCCTGTGGTCAATGAAGTGGTTTTGTTATAAATAAAACTTTATTTATTCTTCCTACAAGTCCAGTTAGAGGCAGCCCTTATTGTTCCAGTGTTAAGCCCTGGCCAAACTAGGAAACATTGTTGCGGAAACACTGTTTCCTGCCAATGTTTCGCCATGTTTCCCAGAGTGGGCAAACACTAGGAAACATTAGTGAGAAACATTAGTGAAAAACATAGGGAAACATCAAATGTTTCTGAATTTGGTAGGAAACATTTTTGCTTCCCGGGAAGCAAATTTTGTTTCCGCAACAATGTTTCCACGGGTGGGCAAACAGGGAAACATTTAAGGAAACATCGAGAATCACAAATGTTTCCGCAACAATGTTTCCTAGTTTACACAGGGCTTAACTGCTCGAGGAACTTGCCGCGCACGCGCAGTTGATCATTTTTTGCCCGGTCGCCTGAAAAAAAAGTGGGTACATGAAAACGTAAGCTTCCGCAGTGTTTACAACTGTCAGTTACAGCTTTGTATATATATATTGTATATGTATGTGATTGCAACGAGGAATGATGACGTGTGCACACGCAAAGATCCAATCAGATCAAAGAAATATAGCGATAGCACACGTCAGCAAGTTCTTCCTAAATTTTCATTTCTATACAATTGTTAATTATTTCATTTGCGAGAATTTTTCTACTGTTCATTTCAACTCATCTGATTTAATTCATCAGAAATAGCTGTATAGACGGCTAAATACTGACAGATAATCCTTTTAAATTAAAATACAAACATTTCCATTGTCGAATATACATGTACAGAGCAATAAAATAATTAAGGAATTAAGGAAACTGCCTTTCACGGCCAAATTAGCCAAACAATAAACAAACCCCTTTTAGGGCCATTTATATACAAGCGAAAATATTAAGTCGCAGCCTAAATAAGCCGCGGCTTAAATAAGACGGCTTAAATAGGCCTAGCTTTCAACTCTGCATGGGCTTATTTTAGCCGCCGCTTATTGCAAATTAACTGTTTATATACGAGTCGTTCGCGACTTGTTATTTAAGCCGCGGCTTATTTTCGCTCGTATAAATGTCCCTAAAGTCTGTACGCTGTGAACAAGTCAAATAAATTTGTTATCGACTTGCAGGAACAAATCTGCAAATGTCAATTTGCAACAAGCCTGATTTTCACAGACTAGTTGCTGCAAGTTGTTTTATCAGACTTGTCAAGACTTGTTATCCACAAGCTTGCTGCAAATTGTTTGAACAACTTGAAGCAAGCCTGATTTTCTCAACTTGCATCAACATTGATGTGTTCACAGACTTGCTGCAAGTGAACAACTTGAACATATCAGACTTGTCAAAACTTGATATCCACAGACTTGATGCAAGTTGATAAAACAGGTTGCATCAAGTCTGCAAATGACAACTTGCAGCAAGCCTGATTTTTTCAACTTGCATCAGCATTGATGCGTTCATCAGACTTGCTGCAAGTTGTTCTATCAGACTTGATGCAAATTAACATTTGCAAACTAGATACAAGTTAAGTTGTTTCATCAACTTGCATCAAGTCCGCAAATGTCAACTTGCAGCAAGCCTGATTTCAATAGGGTTGCTGGAAGTTGATGATGTCAACAAGCCTGCTGCAACATGTTGACAACTTGCAGCAGGTCGGTAAAATCCGCAACTTGCAGCAGGTCTGTGGCGTTTCTGGCTGTGTATTAACACTATATACTTCTGCATACAGTATACTGAATATCCATTACTTGGGAAAGCTGAAGCGTTATATTCGAAAAACATTTTAACCTGTCATATTGTAAACTACCAGTAATAATCTTAGATTAGTGAAGTGCGTTCGGTGTAGAGTAAACGTTGTCCAAAATGTTAATATTGCATCATAGGCTAGTTATCAAAAGTGGGCCAGATTGGCTCATTTGGAAATAATTGATTTTTTATTGCATCGATCTACTTCTCTTTCCTGTTTCTCACAGGCTGGCATAAAGCTACTCATTTCTGTTGTCTCATTGTACATTAGACTTTGTCTTCAATGTTATCACTGGAAGGGCCTACTGTACGTCAGGTTGTCGATATAATTTCATGCGACCAATTTATCATTTTCAGTCTCAACTGTCATATCAGATGGAACACTACCAATAGAGAGTGATTCTAAGGCATGTTGATTGATAGTCACATCACTATATTAAAATGGATTATTTCTCAAAAGCCATAGCAATGGATGATGCACTTTTTCTCTTCTGCTTTAACATCCTTAAATGAGCATTTCTTCAGTTTGAGCCTTGCAACTCAACTAAATACAATTTTTTGCCTCTAGTGTAAACTAATTGGGTTTACAATGGTTGCATTAGCATTTGGACTGGTATCAGTGATATGAATAGTGCAGCCTAAAGCATAAATTTGCTCCTGCTTGAATATTGATATTATCACACCATGTTCCAGGTTGTGAAATTAATTTCTTCAATATAATTTTCTCATGAAATATTTTCAATATATAACTCAGGATTATGCATTAAATGTGTAATGCCTGCACTACGGATATCAAGATGGTAATTAGGATTTGACAATGTCCTGAGGATTCAAAAAAGCAGTCACCAGAGTCATATGGCACTCGATCTATTAAAGCAAACTTATTTTCCAAAACATTCCAAGGAAAATTGCTGTTATTATTTGCTGAATACATACCACCACATAATTAATTTAGACTTACGGCCTGTTTGTATGGAAGCCGGGCTGGCCCGCTAAGCAAGACAGCCCGGTAAGCGACATCTCGCTGTGTAGTTATAATTAGTAAAAAATTTGTGGTTATAAGTAAAAATTATCATGCATTTGTATGGACAAGCGGGGTGGCCCGGTTGCCGAGATCTCGCTTGAAAGAGGCAAGAACTTGCTTACCAGGATGAAAATTTCTCCATATAAACACTCATAAGCAGGCCAGCCCGATTTCTGGGATGAAAGTTCAAAGATACCTCAGCAAGCTATTTTTAACAACTGTCAAAGCAGTAAAATTGTTAACACAAGAGAAATTCATCCCGCTTACCGGGCTGTTTGACTAAGCGGGCCAGCCCAGATTCCAAATAATATTCTGTTAAGATAGATGGTGATCACCTTGTTCTCGCACTAAAATCTTTGAGTGAAACGAAATGGTCCTGCAGACATGGGAAGCAGTAAAAGCAGTCACCGAGGAAATGCCGAAAATTATCAAAGCTCAAAGCT